TTCACTTTATTTTGTTTTATTTTATTTGTATTTATTTATTTATTTATTGGTGGGGTGGGAGTCTGGGGGTTGCCAGGTCATTGCTGTGCGATTGCTAAAGTATTGTTGTTTTCTTTTAGTTGTTACTTTGTTCTGGGTGATTACTAGAGTGTTATAGATGGTTTTTCTATGGTATTCTGGGGGTTGCCATGTCATTGCTATGCTGAAGTTTTCTGACTGGTTATAGTGCCTTATGTGGTTGCTGAAATGTGGAAGGTTTTTTTAGTGTGATATGGGTTGCTAGGTTGTTGCCAAAATTTGTATTTATTTATTTATTATTTTTTTATTGCAGTGGTATGCGGTTGCTAGGATGTTCTGGGAGGTTGTTAGGGTTTTCTGGGTTGTTGCTAGGGTGTTTTGGGTTGTTACTACTGTAGGTTGTTTCTATTAGATAGGCCATTGCTATGCGATTGTTAAAGTGTTAAGAGAGGTTTAATGCCTTTTTATTTGGTTGCCAGGGTATTCTGGGTGGTTGCCAGGTCTGTTGAAGTATTGTTATTATTTTTTGGTAGTTTAGTTGTCATTGCTAGGATGTTAATGGATGGTTACTAGGGTGTTGCTATGCGACTGCTAAAGTGTTCTGGATTTTCTTTTTTATCGCAGTGGGATGCAGTTGCCACAGTAGGATGTTCTGGTTGGTTATGCTTACAAAATGGTCCCAAATATGCACATCTGTGATAAACACTCAGGGTTAGAATTTATTCCTATCCCTAATTGTGAGTGTGAGAAATGGAAATAATAAATTTTGTGACCACAGTAGAGTTATAATCATTTGTCCTAGTCCTCTGAACCCTCATCAAATGTTGATAGTGTTTCAATTATGTTATCCTCTGGATGGATTAAGATCATCCGTCAATGAACGGTTATGTCCAGATCACACGGCAGTAATTGTATTTCAGTGAAGAACTTAAAGAAGGCCAGCTCTGATTACATGCCATAATCCCCTTATTAGCTGTGAGTTATGCTTACAGACATCTCATCCTGCTCTGAGGGGGGCTCTGAGCTCACATAATTTTTTTTCCACCCGATGCTTACTCTTTCTTGATAAACTGATTTGTGACTTGTTAATTAAGATTTCACAGACATGGATAGCCCACGCTGTGCAGTTGCCAAGGTGTTTTCATGGTATCTCTGTGGAGATGAAGGTCCAGCTGTGTGTGTTGCGCTCTATGCTTACAGACATCTCATCCTGCTCTGAGGGGGGCTCACTATAGTGGCTCTGAGCTCACATAATTTTTTTTTCCACCCGATGCTTACTCTTTCTTGATAAACTGATTTGTGACTTGTTAATTAAGATTTCACAGACATGGATAGCCCACGCTGTGCAGTTGCCAAGGTGTTTTCATGGTATCTCTGTGGAGATGAAGGTCCAGCTGTGTGTGTTGCGCTCTGGAGCTTTCAGATATTTTGTCCCCATTTAAAGCACTTTGGGGGTTTTAGTTTAAGATAGTCCCTTATTGAATTTTCAGAATTTGAAATGCACAATTGTAGTCACATATCAGTTGTCTTTTTGCTGTCTGCGAACTTAGGATACTACTGTTTCAATTCGCAATTATAATATATTGTAATATAATATATTATAAATTATAATTAATTATGTCTGACTTATTTGTTCATAGCTATCCATTCTACTGAAGTTGCATGTGTTTGGATTAAAAAAAATTATAATTGTCATTTCACACTCATACTTTTAGTTGTAATACATCACATCCATTCAGATGATTTTAATAAATTCATACACACCCGAAGGTGAAATCGAATCCAGAAATCCCTCATCCATATAGAATCAGAACTTCACGCAGTCCTGTGTGACTCTCCATTGGAAATGAATGGCTTCTCTGATCTATAGATGGTCTATCATCTGCAGTTTATCATATCCAGTGAAAATTTAGTTTATTATGTTTAATGCTCATGTTTAAAAAAAGTGAGCAATGAGAATGTGGCATTTATGGATTCTTCTACTGTTGTCATGGTGAACAGTGTGGCTATTCTCAGCAGGGCATCTGGTGAGCCCAGGTAACGATGGGAGGACAGAATCGAGTTTTGAATCGTCCTCGTTCTCTTTTTCCATCCTCTTCCTCTTGACTCAGTTTTCAAACATCTCTTAGCACAGTCAAGCCTGGTTACACACTCACATGCTGTTCACACATCATATGCAATTGCAGAGAGAAGCGTCCAACTTCTCCACACCTGTTTAATGCAGCGTGCACAGATCAAACACAGAGAGTGTTTTATTTCTTCTTGCCCAGTAGCATGAACAATTTTAAGTTTGTCTGCAATTTCTTTGATTAGCACTTAAGTAGGGCTCAACAACAACTAAGATTGCAAATGTGACAAAAAATAAAAACCGGACAGTATATTTAATATCTATTTGCAACAGTCAACCTTTCTTGTTTTTTCATGCAGCTCATTGGCTGTTTTCCAGGCTGTTCTGTGGGTCTTCCTCTAACACACACTTCTGTCATGACGGTCAATGTGGTCACGCTCACGATGTCCCTGACGCATTTTTCTCCTCTGAATTTGGACGAAGCGAAACATAATTAACTGAGAGAGCCAACGAGCCTTTATGGCAGCTGTCACCTTCCATTTACCTCATAAGACCAGTGATCAGACAGACTTATGGAATGAAATATTAACACAGCGAGATGATCACATGAAGGCTGCGCCAATGATACGCGTTTGTGTTTCACTGTGTGCACGGGTTGCTGTGTGTCTATTAGACGAGTGAAAGCGAAAGTAAGAGACACCATCTGGTGTGAATAATTCTTATAGAGGACATTTATATTGGTGACATAATGAAGTGGAGATTAAGCTATTATCTTTGTCTGTAGTTCGAAGCCATGCCAAATTATTCAAGAGGGTCCTGAGAAGCCTTGCCATATATTATATACAGTCCCGGCTGCAGAATTATATGATACACAGAACAAATTTAAACTGGGACACTTCAATTACACTATACATTTTTCTTTCTGGAAGTTTATAGTGCGTCATTTTAAAATTTTAAGCTTGACTAAATGGTCATTGGTGCTGATTAATTGTTGTACTGATTAGGGATGCACCATTTTTAAGGTTCTGGCCAATACCGATAAATATATAATAACTATATATAATTATTTTCATACTATGACCTATAACAATAAATGACTATTGTTTCTATTCTTTTATACTTTTTTCTCTAAATAATTAAAAAATAAATCTTTAAAACTAAAATAAATCATTTAAAATTCTAAGTGTATTTAGCCATTAATATAATATACCGTATAAAAAATGAATATTTGGTGTTATAAAATTATTCATGTTTTTAAATATTAACTTTAAGTGAGTGTTAGATGATGGCAAAGTTAATCTAAATGTAAAAAACTGAGAAATTATCATATCCAATATTAATATCCAATATCGGCTGATGTGGATAAATAAAAAATGATTAATATCAGCCGATTAACCAATACAGTACCGATATATTATGCATACTTAACACTGATGTTTTTTTGTTTGTTTTTTAACCAAGCTGAAATAAAATGATCAATTATCTAGAACCCACATGGATCAGTGTTTCTTTAAAGTAAATTTAAAGTTCTTTAAAAAAAATAAAAAGATTTAAAATGTTTTAATGGACACAGGGGCCAATTTTTCTCTTATTAGTAGGGCTGCCCTCGACTAAGGATTTTTCTGGTCGACTAGTAGTCGTTCATTTGAAGCATTAGTCGACTAATCGCACGTTTATTAATAAACTGTTTAAATCATTATAATGAGCCTTTAATTGCCTACATAGCCATAAGCGCTCAAGCACACGCATAAAGCTTGCCACAGCGCACTGGCAGAAGTAATGATTATGAATGTGTCAGGGAAAAACAGTAAGGAGACTGCATTAACATTTTAATAATTTGATAAATTAGTGCTTTCTCTGTTCTCAGTTTAAGAGATGAACTCGGCAACACTTACTCATCATCTCCGTAGTAATGCACCTTGTTTCATATGGATTACATAATCTGACAATATTTGTTTTCGATTTGAATTGGTTCGTTTGAAAATAGACATTTCACTCTCTATATATATTTTAATGTCTGTAAGGCAAAGATATAGGAGTTTCGCGCTCAAGTTCACAGACCGAGACCGCAGAAAGCGCATCCTGTTTGCTTTCATTATTTTACAAAAGCGCGTTTTGTTGTTATTGTGAGTGCACACAAATAAACGTAGAGTCTTTACAGATTTGAAAGATGTATTACTCTTATCTGAATGACCAAAAATGACGGAGTAGCCTATTTTAAGATCAAGTGAGTGCACCGGCGTCTCCATCTGTCCTGCAGTAAGTGCGCGCTGCTGTTCAGCTTCTACACTCCACACAGACACAATAGCGCACATTTCTCTAGGTTAACATTAGACTGAGCAGCCATGTAAAGTTTCTAATACTTACATATTTTAGATGATAAGCCATTTTTAAGCTCGATGAATGATAGGCGAGCATTTGGATGTCCTGCCTGATGTACTGTATTACCATAGACCAGTGGTTCCCAAACTTTTTGCAGCGTGCACCCCTTTCTAGTGTTTGACACATGTCAAGCACCCCCACCACCGTACTACGGTTAAACACCACATTTTTTACTGCAATACAAGCATTCTCTCGCGCACCCCTGCTGGTCGGTCTGTGCACCCCTAGGGGTGCGCGCACCCCAGTTTGGGAACCGCTGCCATAGACTAACGTTAGCCGTTAACGATCTGTCCGTCACGAACTGCACGACTTTGCCTGTGGATTTATTTATTTTTTATTTTTTTTATGCGACTAAGCGTCTAATAAAATTTCGGTCGACTAAGCCTCTTCTGGTTGACTAACGATTAGTTGACTATTAGGGGGCAGTTCTACTTATTAGTTTATTTTGGTTTTTAGGTTTGTAATGGCAGCGTTTTACTAAATGCCATGGTACAGTTGTTGCTTACTGAGGGCTGAGCCATGCTTCCAGTTAATGTCTCTCTCTCTCACACACACACACACAGCTCAGGCCAAGCAGTGTCAGCTACGCACCTTCCTCACCTACTACATCAACGACCTGTTCCTCAGCCAGGTCCGCACCGAGACCAATAAGGAGATTGAGGCTGTGACCAAAGTGTCCGACCCGCTCAAGATCCTGGCCAGCGCTGACACCATGAAAAACCTGGGAGTTCAAAGACCTCTTCTACAGGTATCTTGTTTTAAGAAACTTCTTGTTTTTTTTTTTAGAAAAAGTATGATAATATAAGTACACACACACACATATATATAAAGATAATACAGCCTTCTTTTTCTCCTTCGCGTCTTCACACTCTCCTTCTCTTTCATTAGTCAATCCATTTATTAGACTGTTAAACAGCATTTGCCTACCGGTCAAGTGTACAAAAGCCCGGTCTGATTGTTTTCTCATCTGAATTTCACAGAGGGGGAAGGTAATTTTTTTTCTCTTCCCGTCTCTTCTCCTTCACTCTGCCGAGAGTGCCGATAAAGGCCACCTACCCCCCTATCACCCTACATCGTAATTGGAGCTGAAATTGTGTTTGATCCTGGCTGACCTGGAATCAGCAGTTAAGTGCAGCTTATATAACACACAGCGGGGCGCCATGGTGACCAGCTGCCAGCTGTCCATCTCTCCCAGGGCTGCTTCCTGGCGGCACAGGAAGTGCAACACTTTTATTGCCATGGAGAACACAGAATGTGCTCATCAACTTCATCAGCTAAGGGAATGAGTGCTGTCTCTCCTCTCACCTAGTATTTGCTTGCTTGCTCCTTGCAGAATCATTTTAAAATACAGGATTATGTTATGTTAAATTATATTTTATTTTACACTTTATTATTATTATTATTTTAGTACTGCCTTAAAGAAGCTGCCTAACAGATATTGGCTTTTTTTTTAGCTGCACGCTTTTGTTTGTTCCTGAGTGTATTCATGTGCAATTGTGCATGTACAACAGAGTTATTTCAATGTCTTCCTGCTCTCTGAATCCATGATCTGGTCAATTAACCTCATGAGAAACTCTCTTTGCAAATATATGAGAGCAAGAATGCACTTGTGCTGAGTGTGATGAGTTTAGCGCTCTGTTATAACTCAGATGAGAGCCGTTATGGGCCCCCTTACTCTTTAAATTGAGACCTGTCATCTCAAGTCTCTCCAAGTTGTGTGTTCATGTGTGTACGTTTTAGCATTGCTTTCATTTTGAGAACAGTGGCAGTTCATTACAGAGGGGAAGGCACCAAAAGCTCACAGCCATTTGTTTACGATTATGATTTCTCCTTAACGAGGACTGCGGCATCTTGCTAATTACCCTGCTGGGCTAATGAGCGACTCTCTGGATAGCGGGAGCTCCATAAAATGCTCTTTTGTTTGGGATTTTTTTCTTTTTAATTACCTTCAAACAAAGGTGCCGCAGCTTTGCTCCTGACAGCTCGTGTGGCACGTCCCATCCTGGCCTTTTGCTTTGTACTGTTGTAGAACCATTTCCTGGGCCGTGGTCTGTGTGTGTTAGAGAGACGCACTGAAGGAACGAGAGAGTTTGCTCTTCAGAGGCACTTTAATGAAGCCCTTCATGAAGAGCTGTAGTAGTATGTGAAGTTGTTTGTGTTCTCATTTGTGCGCAGACTTTGCAAAGTGCCTGTTGATTTTGAACTTCGCAGAGGAAGGAAGATCAGCACTGCATTCAGAAAGCATTTGCTTCACATCCATCGGCATCAGGGGCCAAAATGAACATTTGCCAAGCACCAAATATGGGTAAAATTTGGCTTTAGTGAGAAAATACAATTTTACTCGCCAAATGGCCTGTTGAATTCAAGAAAGTTTATTAGTTTTAAATGCAAAACTGACAGAACATTTAATGTTTTTGAAAGAAGCTCCCCATCACTGCATTTATACGTTTACTACAGTAACAACAGTAATATTGTAAAATATTATTAACATTTAAAATAACTGTTTTTAACTTTTCTATTTTATAATGCAATTTATTCATATTCGTTCATCCCAATGAAGCCCTCATTAGCATATAATCACCTAGAACAGGTGCAGAGCAAGACTGAAGAGCAATTTGACAGAATGTGTATTACTTCCCTGAATGTCTTTTTTTCCTGACAACAAATATATGGAAAAGTCAGCTTCAGCTTCATTTCTAACGTTATTTTAGGAGTATGAGTTTAGTTTTCCAGCTCCCAGCATTCAATACAGCGTGCCATTGAGAAGGTACATGACTAAAATTTACCCTCTTCTCAGATTGAGCAGCCATCCATCCTGTGAGAAGCCATGAAGTGAGGCTCCTCTCCAGATTGTCTGTTGCCACTGGGATGCATTGTAGACCAAATGGAGAGGGCAAATGATGCTTAAAGTAGTGCTCTCCTGTGGTCAAGGAAATGATGACAGAGAGATGTGGGTGTGTGTTTATGGGTGCATGTCGGTGTATTCCAGGTGCCACGGCTCAGATGTTACAGCAGGTGTTTTATGAGAAATCAGCCTGGGAGAAGTGGAGCATTGATCCGTGGGGAATGGGGCTTTTCTTTTAGTTTCACAGCATTAAATATACTGCTCTTTGCCATCAGGAACCATGTTAACACACACATATAAGCACCCACTCCCATTTACTTACAGTACTACACAGGAAGAACTCTCAGGACAGATTTTATGTCTGTTGTTGTCAGCATTTTTAAAGCTTACCAACTTTTTGTCATAACCCAGTGTCACCTTTTCTTTCTGTAAACTTATCACCCAAACACCAACTTAATTTTGTTGGACAACCACCGTAATCATGGTAGACATTTATATATATATATAATAAAATCATATGTACTTGTGTAATTATTTAATAATACTGAAAATAGCATATTTTTCTGCAAATTTCATCACCATTTTGGAAACACATTTTCAATGTTTTCTATGTTGAAAAATTAACTTCAAAGTAAAATGACATTTAACAGATTGTACTTATATTAATCACAGGCTTGTTTTCATTTGCTTAAAATTAAATATTGACGAGCATTTACTGATTATTTGGACAAGGTTGTTTTTTGAAGGCTGTCTTAATGGAGAGCAGACATTTAGTTTAATTATTAAACTTAATTAAAAACAATATAATTTTTTCTGTGTGTAATGAAAAGTTGGAGAATGGTTTCTTGGCACAGATTAGAGTTGACAGTCGTGTGCTCTGGCAGAGGGAGGTGTTACTGCATTAGCATTACTGGTTGCAGTTTCAAGCACAGGACTCGCTCAAATACAAACAGCCCCTGCTATCAGCACTCCTGTGCCGGAAGCTCGAGTTGGCTGTCCTCATTCTGTCTCGTATGACAACAAGGCCAGTGATATCAGAAGGCTTGGCTATCCATGCTCTGCCTGCTCTCGGCCTTAAACTCCTCTCCGGTTCTTTCTCTTTGCTGTTCTGTTCCGCTGATGCTATCTGCAGGTCTGGGGCCCACTGATTGATTCATTTCATTGGAAATGTTTTGAGGGGGTCACTGTGCAGCTTGTTTGGAGATTGGCTCTATTAATCTTCCCCACCACAGGATCTACGGTGCTGCTTACAGGGGCCACATGTCCGGACACCTCTTACAAAAATGCTTGTACTCACACACTTGATTTTAGCTGATGTTGGTGGAAAATTGCCAAAATATTGAAAAAAGGTGGTTACTGTTCATATTAGTCATGCATGCTGAGAATTATATTTTATAATTATCAGTATTGTTATTGTTAAATAAAACTATAAAAAAGTGTTATAGAAATGAGATAAAATCATATATAAATATTAAGGTGAAAAACTTTAAAACTTAAATGAAAATTCAAAATGTTACCTCTGCAACTTTTAACTGAAGTTTAAGTTGAATTACTAAAATTACTAAAACTAAAGCTGAAATAAAATTAAATTAAAGCTAAATAGAAATATAAAAAAAATAATCAAAATGACAAAAGCACACAAATAAACTATTAAAGCATCAACAATTAAAATGAACACTGAAAATATAAAAATAAAAGTTCAAGTACCATTTTTTAATACTAAAAAAGGGCTATTAGTATTAAAGAATAAATACTAATAGAGAATAAATACTATAATATTATGCAAATATATTTATATAAATAATATTAAAATAACCCTGGTAATTATATACATTCATACAGTAAGTGTAACAAAATATTTTTGGAAAGTCCAAAAAAGTTTTGACATTGCAGTTGCCGAAATTTTAGGCCCCTTGTTTTCCAGGAATCTACAGATATCCAGTATTATATCCAAAAAGTATTTTCAGTCAAAGGAGGTCTCAGTATAGGTATTTTAGGCCGGAATTCATGGTTAGAGCTATAATGTTGTCAGAATATTCCAGGATGCGTTTTATTCACGAGTCTGTTTTTAGCGACGTGATTTACTGTCTGTCTGTGCCATTCAGTCAAAGCTCATTGTGAAATGTGGACTTGAGCTGCCACCAGCGCTTTGCTAATGAAGCTGACCTTTTTAATCACACTGTATTCACCGTCAACACACACACAGCCCTACACATCAGTCTAGATTTGAACTAATGAGAGTGACCTTTTTGTTTGTAGGGTCTGTGTTGTGTGGGGGTGTATATTTGGTTTGTGTGTGTGTGAGAGATATCTGTTGATTGGCATCCTGTAGTGCTCGGCTCCATTAGCGGAGCACAGCTCGGTGTTGGCACACAGGCAGCGTTGGCCTTTATTAGGGACTTCTCATCACTGCAGAAACCAAAACAGGCAAGTTTGGGTGGCGTTTTCTAGCCCTTGTTTAAGTCTGCAGGAACTCTTCTCTGTACAGAGACACCAGGATCAAAATGATGGCCTGCAAGTTACTTTTTTTAAATTTCTTCTGGAATTTACTTCCATATTTTATTTTATAGATGGAATGGGATAGGGAAAGCTTTTAAAACAGATACAGAAGGACTCTCACAAACAAAAAACTTTTTTTTTTCCACAGGTCACATGCATATAACGCTTCTAAACGGAGAACGCCCATGTCACTGATGGCTCCATTGCCATTCAAGCAAGATTTTTTTTATAAAGTTACAGGAAATTTGGACAGCAGAACCCATAGAATAATTTAGCGTTTTCCTTGATGACAATCAATCATTTTCATGACCACTTCTAACTTCTTTTCACAACCGGTGGTTTGAGAACCTCCACCTTAATGCCTTAATGCAAATTCATGTTATTACATCAAAAGACTGCAGTCC